CGTTGGCAGTTGCTTTCTATTGAAAGGTAACAATGCATACAGATAATCTGACTTTCATGCCTGATTGCCTAAAAGTTGCTCAGAAAACTAGAAGGCTGACATCCTTAAGCTAAAAGAAAACTAAGGTTTTATTAGATAACTGTATCTCTTTATTAAAAAGAGCCAAATGTGTTTCAAAGGGGTGAGAGCTTGAGAGAAGCACTTGTGATGTATATTTAGGGGGAGGTGGTTGCAGAAATAACATTTTTATATAGATAGATAGATAGATATAACAAAAGCCTATATATAGGCTATATATATATTGTTTATTTATATTTTTAAGACTAAAATTAAATGGCGCTTTTACAAGCATGTACAGTTTATCATTTAAAGGGAATTTCATACTTGCCAAGCAAGGTGCAAGTTATATGAAATACTTAATACATATTTTCAAAACAAAATTACAGGACACACTATATTTTCTTTTTTTTTCTGCACAGGTCTGCTTATTTCATACTGTAATGGAAGGAAAACTATGGGCCAGTTTCAGCTTTTCAGCAAACTGGAACATAATTTTAACAGCTACAAAAGCAACATTGGTTAATAATTGCTATAAGCGATTATCATATTTATGATCACTGACTTTGTAAGGTTATATGTAAACAGAGTTACGTAGAGGTATTCTTACTGCCATACCTCAGAAAGCATTTGTTTGCAATTTTTTTTAAAGAAAAACCTATTGTTTACCAACCCCCCTCACACCCCCCCAAAAAAACAACAAACCCTTCCTTGTATTTTTTTTTTTCTTAGTGAATTACTATGATGTGATGTAGAATAATACCTTAGTGGAGAGATGCTTTATTATTTGGAGAATTCAATTTCAGATAGTGTTTGTCCTTGCCTACTTCTTTTAGCTGCAATGTATGATTATTCTGTCTTACCAGATAACAGAAGTGTTGTACAAGGATGGACGTTATTGCCCGACGCCTCCAGGACCAAGTGGTAGAGTTTCAATTTCTGTGATTGTAACTTATCCACAAATCTGTTCTTCTGTGTAATGATGGGCTTGAGGGATTACAACAGTAAATACTGATTGCTTCTTTTTGAAAGTGAAATTTGAAAACATGTTGGGTAAAATTTTTATCCTAATAATCGCAACATATTTTGAGATCCATGTGATCCTTTATTAAGTTTTTTAAATTAAAACAAATGTAAGATTATAACTGCTCACTTTTTCCCCCCAAGTATATTATGCAAAATAGAGGCTGAAACAAATCACTTTTTATGTTTATATAAAAAAATAAAATCTTCAAACCTTTGCTTATTCTTATACCCTATTCTAATTTTATCAAACAAAGTTGTACTTGGTATCTGAAATCCACTGTTTTGGAACAAGTTGGCTTTTGTTCTGTTTTAATCTAGATAAATACAAGCATTTATTTATATAAGAGACACACATGCACACACACACTACATAATGCTATATATGAATTTGCATATTTTGTGTGTACACACATGCATGCACGAACCCATATGTAAATTAATTTACATATAATTATACCAATTAATATTTTTGAGTGCGTGTGTTTCCTATTGGAATCATAGCCTTTTGTAGAGTACACCAAGCTTCTTCTCTAGGCTTGAAAACAAGGCCCTATGCATTTTATGCTTGAATGCATAAGAAAATTAGTGCTCTTAGCTAAAGCATCTTTGTTAATCTTGATTTTCATTGGCTAATAGGCAGCTCTCCAGAGGATTATTGGATCTAGTTAAAATAATTTAACATTTTACATGGTGTGTTCCACTAGTGAGCTACAAAAATCATTTTAATATCAAAATAATGTGTGAAATGTACACAATAAATATGCTGAGCTTCAGGTAATTGTTTTTCCTTTTGAGCAATGACAAAATATTTCTGGCAACTTATTTGGGGTCGTGGGCAAGAACAGGGGGGAAGGCCTTGGGCAATACCAGTTCTGTCACACAGTGGTGGAAAAAATAGATTGAAGTTAGATTTTGTACTGAAAAGCTGTCACTGGATCTGAAAATAATTAATATTCCTTTCACTCACCAGTTAGATATGTGCTCCCAAACCACATAATCTCTATGCCTCAGTGATCATTGTTGCCATTTCAGAGCCTCTCATCAGGGTGACATCTCACACCAAAATGATTTCTTATAAATTAATCTTGATAACATGACAGTCTCGGTAATTTTAGTGGAATGCTTTCTCTTGTTTTTTTCCACAGAAGCTGTTGGCCGTTTTCTTTATAACTTGATTGACAGCATGAGTGACTCAGAGGTACAGGCCAAGGAGGAGTGTTTGAGACAATACTTCCATCAGCTGAAGAAGATGGTACCATTTCATTTTTTGCTACATAATGCCTGTCCTGCCTGACATGTATCTATTAGATTTGAAATTGCTGCTTTTAAGTACAACCAGACCACTTCTCAATGACATGCAAGAGCTGGAGACTTAAATTATGTCTGAGATAATTTCTGTTAGACAAATTTCAGTTTGGTTGTTTCAAAACTCATATAATTTTTTCCCCACCTCTTGGTACAGAATATACTAATCCATCCAAAGATCTGCAAAGGCATTTGCAACCTGATGGGCTCCTATAATGTTCCTGAATTAATTAAGGTCTGTGACTATATAGCGATTATTTTGTGTCTTAAAAATATAAAGTATGTATGTGTGTGTTCTATGAACATATTTTCCTTGGGAAACTAGATAATCTTAACTGAATAATTGTGCAAGCCTTTCCCTAAAAATTGTTTAACATTTGAAATCCATTTTTACTTTACTTGGTCCATTTTAAATTTTTGGAGAGCTACATTTGGTTGAGAGGTTTCTTTAAAAAAAAAAAAAAGGCTTACTAGAAAAAGCTTTCTAATAATGCTAAGAAAATAAGATTTTTCTATGTAATTAAAGGTTTCATTTGATATAATATAAATATAATATTTTATGCTTGTATTATGTTTATTTTGTTTTTTATGAATTGATATTTTAATGTCTTAATACATTTTAGGCTGTACAACTAACAGAGGATGTTGACTCCATTCCAAGTGTAAGTAAAAACACTGATATTTAAGACTAGCTAATTGCCTGTCAGGAATGATGGGGGTGGCGGGCGGGGGCGGAATGCTGCCACCTACCATCCCATGCCGCCACTGCATCCCAGGGGTGGGGGTGGGGGGTGGAGCTTGTCCCACTGTTCCCTCTGTCCCCCTCAGCCAGCACCATGTGCCACCACCGCCTCCAGGAAGCAGGGCCAGGGGGGCAAGCCCCCCCCCCATTCTGTCCCCAGTGTTATGGCACTACACTGCCGCCATCTCCTGTCTGGAATGCTCTTGGAGCACTCTCGTTGTTTTAGTAGCATTGTGATTGGCTGCCGAGACAACCAATTATAGTGCGAATAAAGCATTACAGACAGACAGACAAAGGCTTTTATTCTATTAGAATTTTTTTGCACCATGATTAATAACTTACATTGAGGGTACTCACTAGATTTTTACTATGTACTATCTATATATTTTAAGATCTAACAGCATTTTAATCCTATTCTGGGGAAAATTTTGGAGGCCTTTAAGCTTTTATTATACAATTTTCTTAAATCTTCAATTAGCATGTTCTTGAGAACCTACAATAGTCTTACATGTTATTTTTTTTTAAATAATGAAAGAATATGATTATTTTACTGTAATTTAGCATAAGTATTGCATGTGCCTTTCTCTTGGTTGGTTGGTATTACTGGCTGTGGTTATTTTAATTTTTGTCTTGATACCATCTCCTCATAGGATGCTAATCTTAAAGTATCTGCTTTGGAAAAGAATCTGGAAGAGCTAGAAGCTAAAAATCAACCCATTACAGATGTCCTAAATCAGCTCATACTTGCTCTCTGTGAAGAAAAGGTAATGTAAGCAATGCAAAGATAGTTGAAAGAGCTCAGCTATGTTTTAAAGGAATGTAAATGACTATATTATGGATAGATGTAGTTTAGCAAGGACAAGTGTAATACTTGAGGTTTCAAGTTTGATTCATAGAAATCAAACCTAAGTGGATAAAGGCAATTAAATAAAAAGGTTAACTAATTTCAGCTACACCTTGAATGGCATGTTTTGGGGTTCCTGAATTTGTTTACAACAATCTGTGAAGTGAATGATAGTAACAGCTGTGATAGGTTTATCATACATGCCAAATGTCCTTTCAAGCCATGGCTCGGTCTCTTATATCTAGATTGTCAAGCAACTGATACATGCACTAGTCATTTGCAATTCAAATATTACTAAGTTGTTAATGCAGGGATTGAAATTCCATTTTCCTGCGGGAGGAAAGCTTTTTCTGAGATAAAGGAACTCTTGCCTTCATCCGGCAGGTGTCCAGCTGTAGTTCACATTCTCCAGTTTGTGGGGTGTCGACAGACTTCGGTCTCTTTCCTGTTTCAGTATGATTTTCTTTGTACAACCATGGTTATACAAGCCACAACTGTGGTACTATAGTATTCCATACTGCAGTAAATCCAACCTGTAGAGGGGTTGTTTCTCAAATGCCGTCTGTAAATCCTGCAAAGGAAATGGGGCATATCTCTCTATCTAGATTTTGATATAGATTTTGACATAGATCTTGATATAGATATGTCTATATATATCTATCTATATATAAAATAATAAGATTATGGATAATGCTCAAGTAATCTGAGTATGAATTGGATCATGTACCAGTTTCCTGGCTTTTAAAAAAGTTATTTTACCAGGTGCAATTAATTTTTAAAATTAAAACAAAGCCTGAAGCTGTACATAAGCATCAGTCCCTTTTTCATCTGTGCTCACAAATCACGTTTGTGGTAACTTTGGGAAGTAGCCATATCTGTTCATGATAAAGTAGAAAGGAGACTTAAAACTGAAACAAGTAAGCCAATAACTAAAAAGCATCTTCAATTAAGCTGCAATAACCATTTAAAAAGATGAAGTTGTTATTTAAATGAACTCACTATTAAGATCCATTAAAATGCCATACTTGTCCATTGTGATTATCTGATATTCAAACACTAATTTATTCCCATATGTAAACATAGTTATGCACTGAGCACAAGTGTTCACTGGTGTATTGCCTTTTACCCTGGTTCACATGTATGCTTTGTTCCTCTTTCAGAATATGCAAAAAGCCCTTGAAGTGAAAGCCAAATACAAACCGGACATGGTTGTCAGTGGCTATGAAGCCTTAATACGGTTGTGCTGTCTATATGATAATGCAGAAGATGCAATGAACCTGAATGAAGAAGTGTAAGTACACTGGCACTGAAACGTGTCACAGAGATTTATGCTGATACACAGACTTTGTTGAATTAAGTAGATTCAGTATTAACCCCCTCGTACATTTTTAATTAGATTTTTCCCCAATCTGTGTTTCTATAGCATTCTCAAGATTTTTTTTCTGTTAGAACAAGAAATCCATATTACCTAATCATACTTGGAAGCAATTTTGTGTATTTCGGTATTATGTTAAATAAATTATGATGCATGTTTTTGTTTTTGAAATTGGTAACAGCTACATTTATGTTGCATGAGAAAAGTAGTG